AGTTATAAACAGGTCTACTATGAACACTACTAGGGAGGTCTGGTGGCCTAATGGCAAGAAGCTACATGTGGTTCTTGGCCACCAGCTGGTCAGGAGGAAAAGGATGGGCAATCTCCTCCTGTGTGATTAACTGCTGCTGAAAGCTGCCAGAGGGTCAGCAGTTCCAACTTTACAGTACACAACAACGTTAACACTATTGGGCTTATAACCTTCTTCTATATTAAAAATACTGTCAATGATGGCTTCTCCAACATGGAGCTGCTGAGTTAAGACAGTATGAACATTTTAAGGAGTGTGATCAATTTTGTAAATTTTTTTTTTATTTTTGTGTGAGTGTACCGTCAAATCAGATCTGACTGGTACAGGAGGAGATTGTCCCTCCTTCCCCGGCAGAGCATCTGGTGGATTTGAACCGTGCGCCTCTGGGATTGTAGTTGCAGCTCCTTGCCACTAGGCCACCAGAGCTCCCCTAATTTTGTAAACTTTCTGACCACAATTTCTATTTCAGTCCATTTTTCCTCTCATTTCATCTATAATTTGCATTCCTTCAATTGCTCAACTCATTCATTGCCAACTCACAGCTGAACCTCTAATGGAGTTTTTCAATTCATTCTTGCCAAGCTGAACTGACACAAGGCTGACACTCCAGTGCGTATCAAACGGGAGGTGATGATTCAGCTTTTATTCCTTGGGAGCTGCTGGTGGATTCAAACTGCTACAGAGGTTTGGTCTTGTGGGTTTGCAGCATACTCCCTACAAACTGTCCACCAGAGCTCACTCTGATTCCTAGTAAAGACAAACTCTCCCCAACCCCTATTTCTCTCAAAAAAATTTAACCAAGATTTCAGGGAGAGTTTTTTCTTTTATTAAACCTCAGAGAGCAAGATTATGACTAGTCTTGTATTTGTCAGATTAATTTCCACTTTTTGTTCATGTAATCTACCCTTCTGTCACAGAATGTTCTGCCACCCCAGCCTGCCTGACATCAAACTACTATTCTCCCAGCTTTAGAGACTCTGATCACTCACACACAGCAAACCCAAGGAGTGCACATTCAAGGTTTCCTGTCCCACCAAGAAGTCCTGCACTCCAGGGTTCATGGCAGATGAGCTCCACCACTGTCTTCTGATCTTACATCAGCATGATACGGGGCAGATTTAGGTGGTCAAAAGGAGGAAAAATCCCAAAACCTACCCCACAGAGAAACTGAGCGGGACCTGGAGAAGAACATTTAGGATTGAACTTCACAAAATAACCACATCATCGCACCTCAACAACAACAGCAAAGTTCAACAGGCCAGGAAACAAATGCTGGCGAGGCTGTGGAGAGCCTGAAACTCTTATTCAGTGCTGGTGGGAATGTAAAATGGTACAGGCACTATCGAAGGCAGTCTGGCACTTTATAAAAAAATTGGAAATAAAAATACCATTTAACCCAGTAATTCCAGTACTGGGAATATACCATAAAGAAACCAGAGCCACAACTCAAATGGATATATGTACACCCTTGTTTATTGCTGTGTTATTCACAACAGCAAAGAGATGAAAGCAATAAATAAATGGATTGAAAAACTATGGCACATTCACACAATGGAATATAATGCAGCATTGAAAAACAATGAACTTGTAAAACATTATACAACATGGGGGAGCCTGGAGGACATTATGCACTGTTATAAAATAGGACATACATGGTGGGGGGGCGCTGGGGAGAGAATGGGAAAAGGGTGGACAGATAATGAACACTGCATTAGATCAGATGCGGGAAGAACTAAAGAATGAAAGGAATATGATTAGCTGTTATATATATGACAACAATCTGGAACAAGGGGTGCACTGTGGAGAGGGCAAGGAGAGGGGAGGGGAGAAGAAAATGTACAATAATGGAAAAAAAAATGAAAACATTTTCAAGGTTTTTTAAAAAATGAACTTTAGGGTTGTAAATCAAACATCTGAACTGACACATCACTGAGTTATCTAGTCCAACTTTGCTCACAGCAGACACAGGGAAATGATAAGATGGGAGAAAGGCTGGTGTCTTAGAGTGACAGGAGTTCTAACTTAATAGCTACCATCATATAACAGCAGACATGCTGAGGTTTAAACCAAATCAAACTGCCAACACAATACAGGATATCATGAAAGAAATTCAACCACCAAATAAAATATTTATAAACAGGTCTGCCCTTTACCCTGCTAGTATACCCCATGTGAAATCATACACATAGGCAGTTTCCATACTAGCAAAATACTTTTATTATTTTTATAATGATAAACCAAGAAAAGTAAAGATCTTTTTGGTGTATACCAGTATTAAGGGAAGTAGAAGAATAAGGAGATTAATAGTCTTTTTATGTACTTTCTTGACAATAAAAAGTTAACAATACCAACTGCTGCCATAAAACTTATAGCTCCCCAAAAACACATATATAAAGGATCATAGTTTTAAAATCTATAAAAGTAAAAAATATACAGTCAGATCTAATTCTTATTCCATCTTTAATATAAAATTGTAAACATTTATTTACACAAAGCAAATGTGTATAACAAAAGTCCAAGCACCCTTTTCGTTTAAGTCTTAGCTCTGGGAAGAAAGAATTTGCACAAAAGTGGCTGCTCCTTCTGACTCCTCAGAAACCAGACTCATAAATAAAGCCACGGGCAGCTCCCAGGGGGGAGGGACCCCCAAGAATCACATTTTATTGCTATTACACTGCAGCATGTGAGAAGCCCAAAGACTGGTCACCTCAGCCCAGGGATCTGACTTCCTGCTCTCCAAGAGTGCCCCAGGGCCAGAGGTGGGGAGCAGCCAGAGAGAGACCAGGAGAGGAACAGTCTCCAGAACCAGCCTCAGGCCCTGTTATTTTTGGTAGTAAACACGCTTAAGTCACTCTTTTCTCCTCAGATTGGGGAACTCACTCTGAGGGTGGAGTCATCATCATCATCACTGGCTTTATGACTCATTCCCTTCTTTGAGAGCTAAATTCAGCATCTGGGGAAGGCTGGGAGAGTGTTTACAGGGGAAATGGCCCAAACACCACCCACAGTGGCAAATGGCTCTGAGAGAAGAGGATTCGAGGGTCCAAGTATCCCCCCAATGAAAAAGGCACTGCTGGTGCAGAATAATTACCTATATCTGTATAGCCCTGCATCCCCTCAAAGCAACTTAGGCTGTTCACATGTATATTTTCCTTGGCTCCATTTCCACACATGATACTCAATGGATCTGCTTTAAGACTTAAGGGAAATAAAAATAGGGTTAAAGTTTCTCCACATATCACTCTGCATACAGGCCACTCTTTTCAGTGTATTATTTTGTCCCCAACATTCTGTTTAAGAGGGTCTTGCCCTATGCTTACAATTTTGTTATAATGATACAGAAGTGCTCATTCAACTTCGTTTCCTATGAACAGTCCATCAAGTAATATTCTATTTTACAGAGTACTTAGTCATGTTCATTAAAAGGAAATGCTACTTGACTCTTTAGGGTATGTTTAGTGTTATAAAGCAATTATCTTTAAAAAGTGCAAGTCATCTAATGTGGGAAAAGGCAGAAGAGTCATAAAACAGTAGAATTCCTCCTCTAGGCCCATCTCATAAGCTTCCCTACCAACCAGGACACTTCTCATTTTTGAGTTCCCAAAAGTCTACTTTCTGGAGAGGCCCAATCAATCTCCTTACAACATCTGGGTTCCTAAGGAATTTAAACAACTCTTTTCTCCCTCCAATCTAGTAAACCACTGCTCTAAAGAAGTTTTCCAATTTGGCTGGAGAGAGGAAGAAGGGGAGGGAGAAGGTCATGGGAAATGAAGACCGGGTAAAGGAAAGATACCTGTGCACCACGTAACAATGATCATGTTCCTAATATGTTAAATACAAGTTTTTTGAGAAGTTAAAGAAAGTGGAAAGTTAGGACATAGGGTGCTCCTTCCCTTGAGGGGATTTTCTTGGGGTCCTGTTACCAAGGGCATGGGGAAGAAGGGACTTCTCTGGGTCTAGGGTCTCCTAATGTCAATGAAGAACAATCTATTGTAGGTAGGTAGGAGATGCTAGAGAGACCACATTTGTATCACAAGGTTTTCCTTCTCACGGCTCTGTTCCTGTTTGGCCTCTCGTACAGAATGATGTTCCAGTCATCCTCCTCCCTTGAAGGTTGACAAGGAGGAAGAAAACCCTAAGAGTCCACTGCCCTCAGTCAATTTAAATCATCACCTCGCTTAATCTGTCTGTTTAAAACTCTTTAAAAACATTTAAAAAAAATCTTTCCTTAGGCGCCTGCCCGTGGTGCCAGGGGTTACGCTGCTGCACAAGAGCATGAGTTCGCGCATAACTGGGGCCCCAGCCCGCTGCAGGTGGCCCTTTTAACTGCGAGTGACACAGTGGTGGACCAGGCCTCTGGCGGGGTTCGCCTCTTGGGTCTCAATTCTTAGGATGATCCCTTTGGGAACAGATAGTAGGCTCCTCGACTAATTGTGTTTCCTGTGTGTGCTGTCATCTAATAAACTTTAGGTGTTATTGCAAAAAAAAAAAATCTTTCCTTATGGTACAAGTTGAAAATATTCTGCTACATATAAAGGTGGTTTTTTTTTAAAAAAAGCAACAAAACACCCAAAACAAAACCAAAACTGTCTCCAAAACAAGGCATGTGGAAGAAATCCTGGATTAAGTCAACATGATAGCACAATTTTTTGTTAAGCCTGACATTTTGGGGTTTCATTATTTTAGTCAGATTTTTGGTCATCTGGACAGAAAATCACCTTTAGAACATACTCCTGATAGTCCAACACCAGGTAATGAAGCCAGCAGATAGTCTGGGGCCAGCCCAACATCCTACAACTGCTGGCCTGGGAGCCACGTGCCTGCAGAGCCGGTGTCAACAGGCCCTTACACTCTGGCTGAACCTACCCAGCTCCCTGTGTCATGTGTTTTTGGTCCAAAGTAGTTCTTTCTTCAATCTGAAAACAAAAATATATGTTGAGTGAACACTAAGAAGACCTTCATTACTGTGATCCTAGAAGGTCATCCAAATCATTAATCCATTCTTCTGAAGTCCTGTTTTTCAGCAGGGAGTCAATCAGGTCCGTGTCCCCAGCCATACTGGGCAGTCCACTGCTGCCTGGCTGCCCGCTGTAGGCAAAGGGCAGCTCTTGGCCTGTGGTCCGCACTGGGTAGCTCTGGGCACAGTGCAGCCCTGCCCGGCCCCCTATCTGTGGGGCTGAGTTCTGGCTGAATGTGCTCAGCTCAGGCACGGCTTGGCTCAAGCCTGTCAGGACCTGTGGTGAGGGTCCCTGTGGAGGTGGTGGTGCAGGAGCGCTGGTCCTCTGCTGGGTGTTCATAGAGGGCAGCATGGAAGCTGCTGCAGCTGTTGAGTTCATGGGGGCCATTGGTCTGTTGGGCAATGCCTGTGAGAACTGTGGGTTGGACATTTTCAGATGGGTCTGCTGCAGGTGGAAACTGGAGGCAGCAGTGAAAGGGCTTACGCTGGGGTTCCCTTGGGTCTGACCACTCAGGTTTGGCATTCCTTGATGTTGCCATGATGGGTTTTGGCCACCCATGGCTGCTGAAACCCTTGGGACTTGTGGCTTACTTAAAGCGGAATTAAGGGCCCCTTTACTGTGCTGCTGGGAGAGGCCAGAGTTCCCCAGAGAGTTCTGTCCATAAGCAGCTGAGACTGAGGTGTTCTGAACCACGGTGGCCTGCCGTGGAATGTGGGCGTGTCCATTGGTGGCCTGTGGGGGAGGCTGGGCAACTATCTGGTTTATGCCCGAGGTCATGCCATAGAGGCTGTTCTGAGAGCCAGCAAACTGAGTCATACCCCGATCCTGCTGGCTTGAGCTGGAGGGCAATGAGGAAACTGCACCATGTCCAGGGCCCATTGACATGAGATTCCCAGTTGAAGGGAATGCTCGAGGACAGCTGGAGTTGGATGGGCCCAAGTTATTCATGCCAGGCACAGCAGCAGAAGACCCTAGAGGCAAGAGAAAAAATGTTTTGGATCAATTTGGCATTTCTTGACCACCCAATGTTTTGCCACCCACAGGCCCTATTTCATAGTTAGTGCAAACAAGAAAAAGCAAGCTAGAATAGAATTAGGCTAGGCCTGGAACAACAATGGGCTCAGACAGACAGGAGGGTGGGACAGGGAGAAATCTGTTGGGAGGAGAAGCTAGTAAATTAATTCAATCACTTTGCAAATAGTTAGCATATCTGTATTCTGTGAGGGGTCCTATGCAGAGCAATAGGAACTCAGGGGTGGAGCCATCCCTGGATGTATTGTTGGAAGACAGAAGTTACTCTATGATATGATAAGGGTGTGACATGCTTCACAGTAACCATGGGAACATCAAGGGCCAGGAGGTCAATATCATGGAAAATTTACGGACTGCTTCACAGTGCTGCCCACAAAATCAATGGGTTTTTAAAAAAGAGTAGAAATTTAGCAATTATGAATTTGAGAGAGAGAGAAAGCACTATCAGTACAGAAAAGAGTGTGTGCACAGAGACACGGAGTAATGAAAAGGCAGTATGTGTGGGGATAGTGTCCAAATAAATGGGTAGATAAAGCTGGAAAGAGACTTGAGGTTATACTTTGAAGACCTGTGGATGCTGTGTTCAAGAATGAGCTATAAAACCAGAGTAACTGCACAGTGACTGTGGCACCTAAGGGGGGTACATAAAGTGTGGCAGTGGGGGATGAAGGAGGGAGGATGTATGAAAATTACCCCTCACCTGTCCTGATAGTTTATACATGAGGTTGGTAAAACAGTTGAGAGAGGGAAAATTTTAGAATGACAGGATGAATTCATCAGGTATTAACAAGCTATAGGTGACAGGCAATGGCTGGGAGACAGTGAAGAATGAGACAGAAGGGGCCTTTTCTTCAGGAATTGCTGTTGAAGGGCTGTGCAGTGGTAGACTAATTGTTCTAAGATTAGCCATAATCTGATTACTTGTTTTTTCTCCTTTTTTCTCCTCCAGCTCCTAAACAGCACACATATAAACCTCCACCTAGTATTTTCCTCAAGGACATACAATTGTTGCCAATCTCTCTGGGTCACCTGACACTGAGAAGGTTACCAAAAAAGAGACATTTCAAAGCTCTTTCAGGAAGAAGTAGGAGGGCAGGTAAAGGACAGATTTTACTTTATCAACTTCTATCTCTTTGTTTCTGAACAACAGCCCAAGCAAGGGCTCAGTAAGCCTGATACCAGGCAGGTTTCTTGCCTTTTCAAGACAACCACTCAATGATGATGTGGTCATCTGTGACACCACAGTCAGTAGACAGGAAGAAAGTGGAGAGCTAAAAGGCCATACAAGTACACTTAGCTTCCTCTTCTATGGAAAACAAGAGACAGTCATTTTTTGTAGAGACATAACGGAAGAAGTAAAGAACTTTCTTAAGAATTTATATAGAAGTAATTTCCTGCTGATAAGATGTCCTCCAACTAGAAAGGCCTTTGTTTCAAAATACTGTGTGGCCAGGAACCAAGTATTAAGCATTTCTCCCCATCAGCCCCTTTGATCCTCTGTTCATGGTGCTGTAGGGTAAACAGAAAGTCATTTTCTTAAACAAACTAAAGTCCATATAAGTAATTAAATCTGTGAATAATAACTATGAAGTTAGGGAGCAGGAGTTCAGTTAGCACTAGATGACTAACAGCAAGCTGAGAAGGCCAATGTCCAGATCTAGCACCTGTACCTCCCTGTTCCCTCTCCAATGCTCCTGTGCCCCTTACCTGCAAACTGTCCAACCTGTTGTGGGTAGGTGTTCTGTGTTGGATCTTGATATTGGGGTGGTGGGCGTGTCAGATGGCGTTGAAATTGCTGCTTTTCCTAGAAAAAGTAAAAAACAACAAAACCACATAAAAAATTGAATTAGGTCAGGGAAAAGTAAATTGTCATGTACATTGTAAATTAGGTCAGAGAAAAGTAAACTGTTCTAAAGTAAATTGTTTTTTACAAGTTTTTTTCCTGGAGGTTAGGCAATGATAATGACAATCTCACTTTGGAGACTTTAAAAAATTGTGGGGAAAAAAATTGTGGCAAGAAAAAAGATATAACCAAATATATCCCATCTTAACAACAGTGGCACCGATTACATTCTTCAACTTATACAACTATGTTTGGTATCCTTTTCCAAATCATCCTGCCACCACTAACATAAACTAAATGTCCACAAAAGAAACAACTAATCATTTTTGGTTTCTATACATATTTGCTTATTTTATACAAATTAGCACACACAGTATTTATCCTTTTGTAACTGATTTATTTCATTCAGCAAGATCTTTTCAAAGTTTATTCATGCTACACATTCTGCCTTCATTAATTCCAGTTAGTAATACAAAACAACTTTTGACAGACTGTCATTACCTGAGAAACTATGCTCCAACAGAAGTCTGGACATACAAATAAGGCAAATGCATCAGTAAGAAAGTTTGTAGACTCTGTCATAACTTCGGATACAGGCCAAAGGACAAGGGGTTTTCCCCCCCATTTCTTCTTACCTGTTCTGCCAGAAGGTGCTGTTGCCTTTGCAAGAACTGCTGCTGCTGTTGCTGCTGCTGCAAGTGCTTTTGCTGCTGTTCTCTTTGCTTCTGTTGGTCTAAAAGCAACTGATGCTGTTTCATTACCACTGCCTGCTGCTGGCTATTAAGATAGGGAGTGCTGTTGTGAGTGCTGCTCACAGACACAGCTGGTGGCTGGGTCCCCACACTAGTGGCCTGCGTTGGCACAGATGTGGACGCGTGAGGGATGTTAGGAGGGTTCTGCTCCTGTCAACACAGAAAACAGGGTTCTTGGGTCAGGTGGGACACAGGGAAACCTATGAAGCCAAGCTCCACCTATAAAGTGGCACATTCATGGCTTCTTTTCTTGAATCTAAATCTCAGATCCAGTTGCACTGCTAACAAATCCAAGTGACAGTCACCCTATGGTGGGGGAAGCAGGAAAAGTTACCCAGAATTCCAAGAAGCAACTATAGCTTGTAAACTCTGAGTCAGCATGTCTGTAGGCATATGGAGCTGATGAATATTATGAGAAAGGGCTCTGGTTGACAGAGAACTTTCATCCTAGTTTTGTTGCTTTCACTTAAACTGTTATCATCTGCTACCTGTGAACAAATAGTTTTCTGTGAAGCAACTGCTCAGTTTTTGCAGACATTCATGCTCTCAAATCAAGGGAATATCAATGCAAACTGGGTATTATCGGTTATTAATGGACCAACAAAGACAATCACAGTATTATCCCCACATCATTATTTAAATTCAAGTGAAAAAATTAAAACAGGAAAATAGTTATTATCATTACTTAAATAAATTAAAAATTTCGAGACTCCTTTCTAGGTCTATTCACTCATAATTTTGATCTTTATAAGATTCTAATTTTGCTGCAGAGAAATTCTGACCATTTCTTCACTCCTATCGTCAGAAACATAAACAGTATGAAAGTGCATAGAAAGCTGCAAAGTTCTACTCAAATGACAGTTATTTGGGAGAGAGGAGGGATAGAAGAAAATGAACAACAAAGGAAGAAAACAAAACCAACCAAGCAAATGACAGACGTTATCACTGTGGTCCTCTATGAAGGACATTTTTAATGGCTGTACAATAAGTGGCTGCACCAACATTTACAAATATTGCCTCCTTTTAGAAGGCTCTTAAACGGCTCCAAGCTTCTGGCCATTAGAAATAGTCATATGTAATGAAAACCTTTATACACAAAGGTATTTTATTACAGGCTTTAATTTTTTTTTTTTTTAAATTACAGGCTTTTTTATGGCAGTAAAAACCAGGATATAACCCAATTCACAATCAATCTTTGGGATATCCACTACTGAATATTCTCCATAACTCTTAAAAAGGGTATGCAGGGGAGCTCTGGTGGCTGGCCTAGTGGCAATAAGCTGCACTGCAATATCAGAGGTAAGCTATTTGAGTACACCAGATGCTCTGCTGGAGGAGAGACAATCTCCTCCTGTACCAGTCAGATCTGACATGATGGTACACACACACACAAATAATAAAAAGGGTATGCATCTACAAAAAGGGTATGTATCTACAGATATCTACAGACAGCTATCTACAGAAGATAGTGTAGAGGAAGTGAAAAACACAGTCACGCTCTATTCTATCTCCACTCTATGCTTGTTTACACTCTAAGTCCTAGCCACAAGGAGCCTTCCAAGAAAGGGACATACTTTCAAGTAAATTTGAACAAGTGTAGAAATGCAAATAATGATCATAATAAGGAATAACTAGCACTAGGCTATTTTCTATCTTGTCTGGTGATCCTGTGTACAAAAGAACAAAACACTGCCCATATGGAACCATATAATCCTGCCATGTTTGCAGACCATGTCTAATTAACTAGAGTTTAGATGCACTGCAAAAGCAGTGCACACCTGAAATATAATCCACTTAACAAACACTAAACATCTGTTAACATCTGAATGTAGGGGTAAAAACTTCCCCAAACCTCTAAAGCAGCACAATAATTGTGATCTTTATAAAGAGTAGAGAACTCCATTTAAATTATGTAACAGCAAAGAAACACTGGACTAATATATTCCTCTAGTTAAAAATCTAGTTACACTAAGGACTTTTATACTACTTTTATTTATTAAGAATTAACCCTGATTTGTCTTACAATTAATTTTTCAGTCCTTGGAAGGTTAAAGGCCAGTGAACAGCTGCTCACTCCTTCAACAGCTAACTGAAACTCATCCAATTTTGCTCTCACCCTTACTCATATATTTATTTGCTAAATATATAAGGGAAGCTTTCCATTTACCTGGGTAGGTGGAACCAACGACCTGAAAGGCATATTTCCTGGCTTTGGTTTCATAAGAAACAAGGGGTTCTGCTCGGTGTTCATATGAGGCAGCTGCTGGGGTAGATAAGCTAGCATAGCTGTCTTGCTCTGGCCAGCCCCAGGGCTTCCTTGCCCACAGTCCACTTTGTAATGAGAAAGGGGTTTTGTATTGCCATAGTCCAGCACAGGCCCTTGGTTATTCACAGAGTTCTGATTCAAGTTACTTGGTGGCTGGTGACTCAGCAGGTTTACATGGCTGGGCTGGATGTAAGGGCCTCCAGGCCGAGGAGAACTCTTGTTCACGCTGGGCATCATGAGCAATTTGGAGCTACTGAAATCTTGTTGGTAGCTGGGAGGGCTAGGAGGCTTCTCCATAGAATAAGGAACATCCAAGGGACTGTGGGAAGATCCTGTTTGCTGCCATGTGGACATCTGACCTGGGGCTTGGGCCGGGGCAGCTTGCTGTGTGTTTTGAAGCATCTGCTCACGTTTCTGCTTGGCAGCAATCTGCTGGAGCTGGTGGGCGGAGGATAACTCTGTACCCCCTCCAGGGCCCTGGCTGGGGAGCACCACCCCAGAAAGAGCTCTCTGTACATTTTGAGTCTGTGATGATGCTGGCATCAGGTTTGCATTGGTACTTTCTGGTGTAGGCTGCCCAGGCGTGTGAAACATGGTCTGGGAGGACGCAAGGCTAGGGGAGGCTGTGCTCACAGGGGTGGATGAAGGCCCCATGAAGGTCTGTCCTGCAGACCCAGCTCTCACTTGTGGAGAGCCTAACTGTTCTTGCTCAAAGGCTGCTGGGGAGAATTCAGTCTTAATATTAATGTCCTGTGCCAATGCGGTCTGTGTGTTCGAACTCGAAGACTCTGGGTCTTTCTTTTCTTCAAAGTCCTCATTGAAGAGATCCTTCATGTCTTCATCAGGCACTGACCGATTCAACTCCTCAATGAGCTCCTTCCACTCCTGTTCATTCAGGTTCAGGTCAGGCATGAGATTATTTTGTGACATGGAGCCTCCAGCCCCAGCAATCATGCAAGGCAGATCATCAACAGGCTCCTGCTTTAGCTCTTTGTTCAAGCTCATAGGGAAGGACTCACTGGGGTTAGTGCCTCCATTCAAATGGAGACTTGAGTCAGCCAGAGACTTTTTGTTTGCGGAATCAAGGACCAATGAGTGTTTCCCACTAGGCTGGTGGGCATCTCCACCAGGAGGCTTGTCAGTCTGCCCACGTGGGGAGACTGGAGGCAGACCATTGGCAGAGACGGACACTCCCAGAGGAGCTTCCCGGCGGGTCTTCTTATGCCCAGGAAAGAGGTCTCCATAGCCATTCTGCTGATCACCATTCTGGGGAGAGGTAGCACTGTCAAGATTCCTCTTCACTGTGTCATGGAGATGCTGAAAAAAAAAAAAAAGATGTTGAAAAGAGTGACTTACGCATACAACGTCATATATCAAGTCCCCTTTGCTTAGAACATCAAACCAGTCAGCTGGTACCTGGACTTCAGTATTTTCTCTTGGCAGGACACTAACCTGAGACCACCCAGAGACATCTTGCCTGAGGGACTGCCTAAGAATGGAGCCAATGAAGAAAGAAAAAGGGCTGAAAGATACATAGATATATCAGAATCGTGGACCTAGCTATTTATGAGACCAGATGTACCTTCTACTTTACACTTGAGTGTTTCTGCTGTTAAGTTGGTCTATTTTTCAGGTTTTGTTAAATGTTAGTAATAAGTGCTATACCTCCATATTTTAACATTGGCCAGTTTTCAAGCCCTTCCTCCAATCTTTACATTTTCTTGCCTGGGCCCATTTCTTCTTCTAGTGTCTGTCAGTCCTTGCCTTTTCTCTATCCCCTCAGTTCTGAGCATCTCCCACCACACTGTTTCTGCTATGTGTCCATTTCTACTTCTAGCTAGTCACTTCAAGCCCATACACACTTGGCCTGACATCACCATTATCTGCTTCTCTAGGTTTCTCATTAACAAAATTTAGTCAACTAAACTTTATTAAGAGGTCAATTTTTGATAGAGGCAGGTGCTATGAAAGCAATAAAGACACAAACAGATCTTGCAGCATTGATCTAATATTGTCTCTCTGAACACGTTTACCACTGGCTATCCTCCAAATGCCCAGAAAGAACTTTCCAAATGGAGGTATAAATGGGGGAACATCGAAAGTAACTTATGGTATCTCGGGGGGGGGGGGGGGGAGATTAAAAAGACACAAGCCACCACAACAAGATAAAGGTAAATAAGCCAACAGAAAAATGGGCACAGGATATGAACAGACACTACACCAAAGAAGACATTCAGATGGCCAACAAGCACATGAAGAAATGTTCAAAATCCCTAGCTCTAAGAGATGCAAATCAAAACAACTATGAGATACCATCTCACCCCAGTCAGAATAGCAAAATTTAACAGAACAGCAAGCAACAAATGCTGGCGAGGTTGTGGAGAAACTGGAACCCTTATTCACTGTTGGTGGGAATATAAAATGGTGCAACCACTATGAAGGTGTCACGGCGCTTTCTCAAGAAGTTGCAAATAGAGATACCATTTGACCGAGCAAATCCACTACTGGGAACATACCCCAAAGAGACCAGAACTGACATCCAAGCAGATATATGCACACCAATGTTTATCATGGCTTTGTTCATAATAGCAAGCAGTTGGAAACAACCTAAGTGCCCATCAACAAACGAATGGATAGAGAAGCTGTGGTATATTCACACAATGGAATACTACGCTGCATTGAAAAACAAGGAACTCATGCAATACTATTCAAAATGGGTGACCCTGGAGGACATTATGCTGGGTGAAGTAGCTCAGTCACAAAAGGATAAATATTGCATGGTGCCACTGTTGTAAAACAGGACTAAAATCGGGGTTGGGGGAAGACTGAGAAAGATGGGTTCAATAATGTATACTGCATTGAAACAGTTGAGGGAGAAAACTGTTTAAAAGGGATATGTAATTAGGTATTTTTGTCATGACTGGAGTCCAGAGCAAGGAGTGGAGTGGACCTGGGGGAGGCTTTGTAAAACAATGAAAGAATTTTTCTTTTACTTTTCCAAGAGGGTAGTGCACTAGGGGGGAGGGTTGGGAGGGGAGAAAAGTGCAACAATGAGTGAATGGAAATCCAAAGTCTCTGTAAATTTTCACTGAAATTAATAATAAATTTTTTAAAAAAGGAAATAAATTGATAATATGGATTAAATAAATAAAAGACACAAGCAGGTAGTCCCTGCTCTTCAGAGGTTTCCAGCCTTTAAGGAGATAGGTCATAAGCAGATACTTTTATAGATTCAATGTTCTTTGTAATAGTAACAATACTGGCACAGTTGGACTCTGGGCAGCATGGGGGTCACCCAGCCATGGGCAGCGCATACAGTCAAGCTAAACCAGAGATGGGACTTCTGGTTGACTCCATGGTTTTCCAAAATGACAGCCAAGCCCAGAAAACACCCATCATGGTAGAGCTGGTGGCTAGAAAACACACACACACACACACACACACACACACACACACACACACACACACAGTGTGTATGTGGTTGCAACAAGAAGCAGCCCTTCTGTGATGGCTCCCATTTCTTCCAAAGCATGGCCTAACCCCATTCAAGTTTAAGGTCCAGGAAACTCACAACGTATTCCTGTGTACTTGCAAGGCCACTCAGAGGCCCCCATACTGTGATGTCGCCCACAGGAATGAGGTGATATAGAAGGCAGAGGTGGGCTCCCTGCTCTGATTGGGTGGTTGCTGCCCAAACCCAGGGGGCCTTTACTCCAGGCCTCTCTGACAGGTACTACCTTTATGGGGGAGAAAACGTGATCTTCAGCCCAAGAAGAGATTATCCAGGAGCCCTGGTATTCAAACCTGAAAACTGGGTCTTGGGGAGCCTATGCCTCTGTTCCTGCTGGTAGAGAAATGGCATTTAAAAAAAATATACCCATCCATGAAAAGAACAAAAAAAAAAAAAAAAAAGGAAACCAGCCACAAGATTTCCGGAGTTAGTGACCTTTAAGAAAGACAATGAGGAGGGGGGAAAGTGCTACCTACCCACTATTTCTCCAGCATAGTTTTCAAAAGCTTTCACTGACATGATTCCTTACGGAGTTGGAAAAGATGCCAACTCTCACCCTCTAGACAAGATGTACTCCTTTTCTATGTTTACTTTGCCTATCTGATTCAATTTCTTCCACACTGCTTCCCACCAAGTCCAAGTAACAGCTTTATTATATTTAAATAGTTTTCCAAGGTGTGTGAGACATGCAGCACATCGTGATACTGTCCTCTGACTGCAGAAAAGGACCACACTGACCTACTACCACCTGCTCAAGAGCCTGAGGGTAGGAGCACTCTGACTCTGCCAGCACCATCTGCTCAGCAGTAAACTATCTGCTGGTTACAAATGTGCAACAAGCAAGGGAACCGTAGGGCAACTGTCTTGACCTCTAAGACCCAATTCTATGCTCCATTATCCCCCCACCCCAAGCCAAGACTTTACTTCTTAACTGTACGAAACCAAAACCAACTACTGCACAGTACTCTATAAACAGTCATTTTTTTCTTTAAATTTTTATGTGCCTGCTCAAGTTACAAGTCTCAGAAAAACTTATGTTAGATAAAAGGACCTAGAGAGCAGAAGTAAGCTATATACAATTCTAATACCCATGTCAAGAACATTACCTTTCTAACAAAAGAACTTTAATGTGGAACATACAAAGTATGAATCATTTCTCCTGCTTCCTACTGCCATCTAGAGGCAAGAGGGAAAAGAAATGTTTTTAATTACTACTTTTGGTAGTTTAGAAGTTTCTTTTATGAAAGGTAAATTCATATCAACTTAACTGACAAGGAAATATTAATGACAGGTTTTCTTTGTTAAATTTTTGTACATTTATTGTTTTTCTTTTGGAAAATGATTTGCTCTACAGTGCCAGACCTGGGCTGCCTAAAGTCAGAGGTACATTTTCTACTTTCTTAAGAAGGAAGATGGAAACTGAAGAGGTCAAGGCACTTGATGAGCCAGCTGGTTGTCCCAGATTAGGAACAGAATCCTTTTTTGCTCCAACAATTATGAATGAAAAAGCTACCACTCCCTCTTTCAATATCCACAGGCCAGCAGCTGTAGACAAGTTTCAAAGTAGCAATGCAATTTTTCAATGCCAATTGCTTTTAGCCAAAGGAAACACTAAGCCGTTCCCCTCACAACTGTTCAAAGTTTAACTAGAATGAAGTAACTGGGGGTGGAAGCACGTGCAAAAATGAGGAAACCTTGAAGCCTGTCATGGACTGAATTGTTATGTCTTCAAATATGTGCTAATCTGGCTGGGCTGTAATTCCCAGGACTGTGTGGTTTTGTGTTGTGCTGCAAATCCTGACTTCTATGTACTAATGCCAACACTCATCTGTCTGTCTTACAGTGGTAGCTTTGTATGTTGCTGTGATGTTGAAAACTATGCCTCCAATAATTATCAGCAGTTATCACCCATTTTGGTGGGGCTTCTAGATGAAGACAGAATAGGAAGGAAGGCTTGGCAAGCAAAGCTTTAAAAAAGGTCAATGAAAACCTCATGAATAACAGTAGATTACTGTTTGATATAGTGCCAAGAATAAGAGGCCCTCAGGTTGGAAGGCACTCAAAATACAACTGGGGAAAAAGTGTTTTCTCAAAGTAGAGTCCACCTTAATGATGTTGACATGGCACAAATGAAAATGAGAAGAAACAGTTACAAAACACATGGCAAGTACAAAGTATGAATCTAGGAAAAGCTGTAAAAAAAAAAAAAGAAATAAAATGAAACCGCCTAATTTAAAAATTAAGCTGGTCTATGAAGAATGTGGCATCAGGATTGCAGGAAGACTCATCAATAACCTGCCGTATAGGGAGCTCTGGTGGCCCAGTGGCAAGAAGCTGCACTGCAATCCAAGGGGTATGCAGTTTGAATCCACCAGATGCTCTGCTGGAGAAGGAGGGGCAACCTCCTGTCAGATCCAATTTGACTGCAAGCGCGTGCGCGCACACACACACACAATAATGGAAAAAATACAAAAAACAAAAAACCAACCTGCCTTATTATAGACTACACAAGCTTGCCTGCTGAAAGTGAGGAAGACTTGAAATGCTTGCTGCAGAAGATCAAAGAATACAGCCTTTAGTATGGACTGCATCTCAACATCAAGAAAACAAAAGTTAGTGCAACAATGAATGAATGGAAACCCAAAATCTCTGTAAATGTTTATGAAAATTAATAAAATATGAAAAAAAAAGTTCTCACCAAAAGACCTATAGGCAATATCATGATAGATGAAGAAAATATGGAAACTGTCAAAACTTCATCTTATTTGAATCCACAAGTAATACTTTTGGCACCAGCAGTCAGGCT